AATGAGTTAGATGGAAAGTAATTTAAAAATAGTTAAAAGTTACTATTTAGCACAGGTAGGTTAGTTATAAAAGTTATTGTACAGTATATTATATATTAGTCCAGTTATATTAGTCTAAAAGTTGTTATAAAACACCAAAACCCAAAAAAAATTGTTAAATATGTTATAAACAAAAATTATAAACATAAAAGTATAACACACAAAATAAAATAAATGAGAAATATCATAGTATTATGTGCTAGAGCCAAGAAAATAAAAGTTAAATTTAAATTGTCCATTCAAATGTGGCAAGGTCTGGGGAAAATGGGAGAAAAAGTTCCTTCACCGTTCACTGCAGAAAGTTTATAAAGGGAAAATGCTTGTAAAAAGTCCTGGATTACACTGACACTTGTTAGAAAGTTAGTCGTTATTGTTTGTAATTAGTTAGCACCGTGTGTGTTCACTCACCACTGTGAAAATGTTAGAAGGAGAACGGGCAGGGCAAGAAAGTAGCCCGTGCCGCTACCGGAACGTACCTCAGATGACCAGATAGGTACCTCAACCGCAGGGCAGATGCCGGCTTGAACTTGCAAGGGCTGGCCAGCTCGTCCAGTGTGGGAGATATGGACATCAAGGGAGCAGATGAGAACCGCCGTGTCACGCCGCTTGTTCTCAGGAACAATCCTTTTCCATCAGCGGAATCCGTGCATGGAATCAGATATATAGCTGTGCGATAGCTTCTCCAGCGTGAAAATGTCCTCTCCGGTATACGTATTCTCTGGATTTTCACAATTTGAAAAAAAAATTAACGAGGGCGAAACGTTTTCTGATCACGTCGGGGTCACCAATATGGCAAGATATAATGCGGAATGCCATTAAATAAAACTCACAAATGTGCTCACTGTTAATTGTATTACATCAGAAGAACTTTAGATGTGTTCACAATATTTTCACCCTTAAAATAATGTTATTGTTAACAGAGACAAGTCGACCGTTGTGTTCTCAGCGGCGAGTCTCGAGCCAGAGGTAACTCCCCGGTCGCCGACCAATCAGAGGCGACTCGTTTGCAAACCGCGAGTCGCGCGCTTTTGCGCGCTAAATTTAAAATAGACGCGGCGGTTGTTTTCATCCGCCACATACCCTTCGTCCGGAACGAGTTGTTTTGCCGGTCACTGCTATAGGATTTGGAACGTGAGGGAGTTGGAATGGGATCATTGGAGTCGGACAGTATGTAGGCTGGTTTTAAACGGTCCACCGATACCGTCACGACTTTGCCCTTAACTCTAATTTTGTAAATTTTACCATTCCTCTCAACTACTTCACGGAGACCAGTATACGCTGGTTGCAATGCTCCTCTTACAGCATCTCGGAGGATAATGTGCGTGCAAGAAGACAAGTCTTTGTACACAAATACTCTAGTAATTTGTTGGCAAATGATCTGATACGTGCTGAGAAATCAGTTATATCAGTCGTGCATTTGTTCAACTTGTGGCCAAAAAATTCGCCTGGTAGACGTAAAGTTTCGCCAAAGCTGTAATTGGGTACAAGCTTGCTAGATGTTATTTTTGGATAAAGTAAATAAAATACAGAAATATGTTTTGCGAACTCTATTTCAATTTTTATAACATTCACTCGCTACTTTTTTTTTGTTATGAATGATTTACGTTTAATTATTTTTGGCTATCCAAAATCAGTAAATTTCCTCCATTCGACTGAATCCGTTTTAAATCTGTCACTACCATTTTCAGGTGAGAAAGAGAATGCAAATTTGCGTTGCAGTCAAAATACAATATTAATGTTTTGCCGTAAAATATAACAAAATAAAATTATGAATAATGAAAGATAACCCAATACAATAAATGAATAATAACCAGCCGTAGTTCAGTGTTACCAACTGTTGAAAAAAAACCTAGAGAAATTCAAAAACCTCCTAAAATCCACTGTTTCAAAAAAAACTTCCTAAATGAAAAAAGTCACCTTTTTTAAATTATTAATTTTAATTTTTTAAAAAATTATCTAACAAGCTAGAATAATTATCGGAAAATTTAATTATCTGGGTAATCAAAACTGTTTTTATTTAAAAATTAACTTAATTAATATACTTGACCTTGAATATTGTTCATTGACTTGAAAAATATTTATATAAATTAAATACATTTTATTGTGACGTTATAATCAAATTCACTATTTTTAAGAATCAGACAATAAATAATAGGAATAAGTATCATTCAATTATAAAAGATCTGAATGAAACATACCTTTAAATTCATTGTCTTTTTCCTACCCACTGCAATATAACCCTTATTGACAGCTGAATAGACTACACCGATTTGTCACCTGATCGGTGATTAATTGCGTCAAGCGCCTACGTCATGGCTGATTAAAAGTATATTTTCTAGCAAATAACGGCAGCTTAAGCGAAATAAAAAATACGTATATAAAGCTGAAACTATAAGGAATCAAAATATGTGTAAATTAAAGTACAACTATTAATCCAAAACAAAGAATTAAATATGAAAGTTGAGAATATTGGTTAAATTTCACGTAAATATTTTTTTGTATCAAATCTCATTTGATATTTATTCTTTACTAAACTAGACAATATAAGCTTTAATTTGATACCAAAAGTGTAAACATTCATTGTGTAAACTTTATACAATAAATATTTTATTTTATACAATAGACCCTATTCCACTTGAAATCCGACACTCGATTGTTTTTCAATGCGACGGCAAGATGGCCACCCATAAGGCCATAAACACGGTTATTCATCTATTTTTTTATTATTTAGTTAGAAATATTTTGTTTCATAAATAGGTACATGACATTCTTATATTTCTAAATAACATATATATTAACATGTATAACACATATTTATTTATAAAATATATTTTTATTAAATTTCGGTATATAATATACATATTTAGTTATGACACATTTTTTTAATATTTGAAATGAGCATTTATTGTAGATATGTATTTATGATATTGTAATAAAATACAAAAAAGCACAGTAACAGTATGTGAGCTATATCTCAGCTAATATTATTTATTTTACGGCTGGTGATATGCCTTAAAACAGCCCTCAACGCAAAGATTAATGTCGCGCTCCTGGCATTCCCAAATTTTTCATTATTGTTCCAGTATTTTTTGAAAACATCAAACAGGAAGGGGTTACTTTCAACATCGGTGTGGCCTGCTTCTTCCTTGAAATCCAAAAGCCTTAACGACTTACATATTTCTTTGAATAAACTGAAATATTAAGCGTAGTTACGATTAGTACGTAAAATGAAAAAGATAATTAAGCTTGTTCATCTTACACTCTCACATGTCCATGTCTTCGCAATATCATTCTCATGTCTTGATAACTTGCAGTAAATATTAGTATTATTACGATTAGGAGGATGACGTCTTAAAAATCAAAGATCCGTCTTGACAGCTTGGAATGACGTATGTGATTTTATTTTTAAACATTAGTGCATGGTGAAAGAAGGTTCGTATTTGGCATAGACTTCAGACCTAGAAAAAGATAAAACAAAAATACCCTATAATAAAATAAATAAAACGAATGTACCACACCAAATAAAAAAACGCGATAATACGAAAATACCCTCATGTTCACAGTTTGTATGTAACCTTATTTTGATACTTTTTCGTGACGTTCGTGTGACGTCATCAGCCCATACAATAAACCTGCGGAAGACAATTTTAAAAACGTAAAATAATAAGTGTTTGCGTAACAATCCTTTCGTTTTTAGTGTTTTTAAATGTTAATAATGAACTGTTTTTACAATTACTAGGAATATTTTACTACAATATATAATATATAAGACAATTTTAATTATGAAAACCGGCACAATGAGGGTAGATTTTTAAGTGTTCATTTTATCACCCGAAATAATATTCTTTTAGACTTTTGATTCATATAATTTGATGAAATCATGAAAGAAATATTCATGAGGATTATTTCAATGTATAATACTAATACACTGCGTTTATAAATAAATCAATACTTACATTGTAAATGCGGACCCCACAACCACTTGAAATAACTTCGAACAGTTTTTGTAAACAATTTTTTTTTGAGGTTAGCTGTCGCCGTTTATTGTGTTCTACCCACCAAAAGATGCGTTATTTAATCAGGAACCATCTTGTGTAGCATTATTGAACTACTACGACAAATATATAGAGAAAATTACGTTTAAAGTTAACAAAGTGGTTGGGCTGCCATAGTCGCCCTAACGTTTGACGCTTAAAAAATTTGGGCTGCCGTAGTCGCCCTACCGTTGCAGCGGCTACTAAGCTGCATATTTTCTCACCATTTGGCATTTTATATTACTTATTAAATGAATTATATATATTATAGTCTTCGTATATTCACAATAAGAGTTTATGGCGGAACAATTTAAAATACTATGCTGCCAATACTATCACATTATATTTTGTGTTTAAAATTATGTAATTTAAAAAAAAAATTAAATAAAATTTTATTCCTAAATTTCTCCTAAAATATTTCTATATTAAATGTTTCTTCCTAAATTTAGGAAGAAAACTTAAGTTGGCATCCGTGCCGCAGTTATGGCGGTACGTTCCGTTACACTGTTTAAAATTACTTCCAGCATTTTGCTTAATAGTTTTCTTTCAAATAATAATTTTTGTTTAATAAAATACAATTTTCTCAGAAATAAGATACCATACATTATTTTATTTTTATAAATTTATTTGAACTTAAAATAAAATTTTGTTTTTAACCTAATGGTACCATAGTTAAAATGGTTTTGTATTTAAAACAACGCCATCTGTTTTTGACAGATGGAACTATAACCTTACTTAGTGTCCCTAACCATCTCTTCCTCAAAAGCCTTATTAGCTATATTTTTTCCTTTCTGTAATATATTTAATTTGTAAATGTTGTTAAAGCTAAAATATAAAAGTTCAGTTTTCTATATGCAAAAGCATGAATATAGATTAAACCAGTGATACACCATATTATGTGTTAAGATGTTTATTCAGCAAAAGTTACTTTTTAGATTTTCCTTCTTTTGCAGCTGCTGGGGCTTTAGTTACATCATCAGGATTTTCAGCAGCATCCTTCAACCTCTTAGCTCTAATGCCTACAAGTTTAGCAATAGAGCGGGCCTAAAATGATTAGGGAAAATATTAATTAAAATTTATTGTTAGAAAAATTATTAGTTCATTTGTGTCAAACGTAAATTTGCCCATATCTTTTTATAATGTTGACTCAGATTGACCTTGATTTTTATACACCTAATAGGAACAATAAACCTCAGTATCTGGTATAAATTTCAACTTGCTATATCCACCCGTTCATGAGAAAATCGGTGGTGACACACGGACATACAGATGGACAAGAGTGATTTTAAGTGTTCCTTTTTTACCTTTTAAGATATGAAACCCCAAAAATAACACAATATACAGTAAACTAACTTACCCCTCTTAGATATTGATAGGCCTTGAAGTCTTTCTCTTCCTCAGTGATAACACGGGCAATCGATTTAGGTGCAGGTTGCTGCACTGGCATTAAGGGACCACGCAACTGCGTAGCTAACTTACGTTCCTCCTCATTAGCCTCACCCTTCAGCACCTTTAAAAAATTGAAAAAAATTAATATTTTAATTGATATGTGATGTGATATAAAGTATCATGAATATTAACAAATCAAAAATATTATTATTTGTACTGGCAAATTTTATGCTGATAAAATGTGGAACTTCTACAATTCGAATACTGGCTTAGGTGAACATAGCATTAATCTTTAGGCTACTCAACTTTCACGCAAAAAATATGATTATTGCCATGTAAGTAAGGTAATACATAGTAATAACTTTTAGGTCTATGGCAGTCAATGAACGCAAAAAAAACATGGAAGCATTATTGTTGCTCCAAAATGGCATAACGAAAACTGCGCCGTGATAGGCGGTTCTTATAAACTGTACCGCGAGGTGGTTTTAGTATAGGGATGACATTGTGCCATATGATACACATATAGATATTTCATATTTTTAAATTTGTTACTTTTAAGGGACACGAAAGCGATCGAATGCCTACCAAGACATCAATATGCTCTATTACAAGCTACTGAGCATATTTGTACATGCATGCAGTAGCATGTAATGTAACTAGATTACTATTGAGATATTTCGAAAACCGTTCATTAACTGCGGTGCTCACATTAGGCGACGCCTGTATTGTGACCATGAATTAGATAAAAAAACATACAAATAAGATAAATATTAATATGAAAATATTCATGTTAGCAAAAGTCCTTTCCTTTGGGCGTATTTAGAACGATTTTTGCAGAAAATTTACCTGTCATCATATGGGAGCGTAAGAAGCGAGCCTAGAAAAATATATTTAGCTTGTCTCATAGTAGTTTTTTATATCACAAAACTTCACAATTTTATTATAGACAGAACCTGATGGGAAAGGGAAAAACGTCTTGTGAAAGAAGTTTTAAATGGAGACAAGATATTGGTTTTACAAATTAATAGACTTAGTTGAACTAAGAAATAAACTCATTTTTGTTTGGAGATAATTCAGTGCATTATTGATTTGGCTCAATTTTCCATTGAAGACCATACGGAATCACATAGTGTTTGAGAAGAAAATATTTAAAAATTACCGAATTTGGCTTAGCTTTCCATTGACATCCGTTGAGTTGGGAGTTGATAACTTTATTATAAGCACACACGCAAGTTTCAATATGCAGAGATGCGTAGGATTTGAGAAAAATCCTCATAACTTTGCCATATTTGAATGGTGACCAGTTATATTAATCGGATTTGAACTTTCACTTACACCACATCCCATTTATTATACCCCATAATTTAGGCATTTTTGCAAATTGATTTTATTTAATATCTAATGCAAGAATAACACTATAACACACCATAACACTGAAAAATAATTTTATTCCAGATCTTACTTTTTACTGACATTTCTTGATTTGCCTGTCTGCTCGCTGGAGGCGAAGACAGATGCCTGCGATTTGTTACGCAAGGGCATAGAAGCTGTTCTTCCCAAAGCGCAGGAGATGTTGCAGTCTCAAAATAGATACAGAAATTCCTCTGAATCAGTAGCCCTAATTTTTTTTTATTAGAGTGGAACCCCTTCCCCCTTATTTTATTCCACTTATTATACATTTTAATTCATAAAATGAGGAAAATTTCATTGAGTTTAAAAATTCGAATATTGGGGCTCCACAACTTATCCTTTTAAGGGAGGTTATACCCATCCTCCCCTGACGGACGTCAATGGAAAGTAGGAGTGAATTATACTAGGTTAAAATGAGAACCTATTACACCTATTCCTCAACGGTACCAGTGACAAATATCTGTTACAAAATAACAGCCTGTTATGTCACACTATGTTGGTACAATTTCTGTAACTGTTCACCATCTGTTTTGTAACATTGTTGTAACGTTGGTGCTTCACTTTCTAAAAAAGCTGTGACCAATGCGAGAAAAAGAAAGATCTTGTGACAGTATTCAGTAACAACTGTGACAACATGTAACATTTTTTATCTTTTTCTAAGGTAACAGTTGTTAACATTAATGAATAAAAGCTTGTGACATTAATGTGGAACAGGAACTGTTATTTAGGTTGGTTTGTAGTAGGTACAATCTGTTATCTCAAGATGCCTATTAATTACCTGTTACGACAAATATGTCCCACTCCTAATGGAAAGTCATACCATTGATTTATATGTGTTGTTAGTTGTGGTGCTATTCAAGTGATTGTTAATCACTTGTATGAATGAGTGGCTTCCATATTTTATTTGCATGTACATAATATATGATGATAATAAATGCGTTGGTAAACACTGTGTTTTCATGTATAAAAATCAACATAAAATTGTAGTAAAAATAAAATTGAAGTCTTAATATATTGGAGTCAATATTAATAACATATCTAAGCAACATAAAATATTATAAGTACTATTTAAATTCTAATTAGGTACTTACCTTTTTGCCCTTAGGGAACAAAATAAGACGAGCTCTGTATTCTTTTATCCTTTGTACATTAGTCTGCAAAGATTCAACAGACTTGTTACGTCTGCGAGGGTCAACAGCAATACCAATCGTTCTTGCAAAAGCGGGGTTTAGCCCAGCCGCCTATAAACAAATAACATACGTTATTGTTTTTTTTAACTTTAAAAAAATATATATACATTTTTTCACATAATGACTGTTGTTAATCCCTACATTACCCTGATTTCACGAAGAGTAAATCCACGACCGGCGCGGACCTTAGTATGGTATCTCACTGTTGGGCATCGAACTACCGGTCTTAAAGGTCCCGCTGCTGGACGCGGTGCGATTGCTTTAGCTTTCTTAATTCTATTTTGCTTGCGTCGGTGCCTCCTCGCAGGCTGGTTAAACCATGTTTTAACGAACCTTTGCCAATCCTTATGGAAATGTCCATTGGGAATCATATTATTTCCCTTCCCCATATTTGTTTGTAACTCACCTTACCTAAAACATTTAAACTTGAAATAAAATATATAAAAAGCAGATCGTGACTTTAACAGTTATTTCAAACAATATTTAACATAAATCTGAAAAGATTTCTGATAATTTTTAAGATTTGTAAAGACGAAAAAACTAACCACAAAGCAAAATGAGACAGAAAAGAAGAGAGATTTATTTAGACACTCAACGACAGAACAGACAGTCTGTTGTGTGTTGCCATGCCAGAAATTTTTATTAGGTACATAGGCAGAGAGATTAATGTAAATTGTAATGATTAGAACATCAAAAGTTGTGATGTATTACAATAATTAGAAATCACGGAATAAAGTTATTAACATCAAACTTTAACTGACAGTACCAATAACTTTAGAAGCTTTAGTTAACATATAAATATTTGATGTTACTTTCAAATACTTATATTGTGGGCGAGGTAGGCTGGTGTCGTTAGGAAGCAAATCAAATAGCAGAAATTCGGAGAGCGCGTTAATACCTGTCCAAAAGAAAGGCTTGAAGTTAGATGCCAGGATGCACAGGCCTATATCTTTATTACCTGCAATATCAAAAATATTAGCATGCATATTTAAGTCTAGATTAGAAGCTCATCTTGTCTTATACAAAGTTATCGATGGGGGGGGCAATTTGGTTACCAAAACAAACTCGGTACACAGGATACAATAAACGCGTTGCTTAATGATGTCATTGACAAATTATATAACAATCTTAAGGTAGCTACACTCTTTCTTGATTTGAGTTCTACATTGGATACCATCAATCATACTCTTCTGTTGGATAAATTGCATTATTATGGGATTCGAGGACTGGCTATTAAACTTTTTCAATCCTATTTACAAAACAGAAAAATGTTCATAGAATTAAAAACGGTGAACGATAGAATGTCTGAAATTGTGACGAAATCAAAAATGATTAACGTAAAAGTGGGTGTTAGGTTAGTACTATTTATTACTTTTATTAACGACCTAAACCTAAACCATCATGCACGTAAAATAGCTGACTCGGTTAAGTTAGTCCTTTTTGCAGATGACACTAATGCTATTATCTCAGCCTCTGAAATAAAGACTTTGGAATTAAAAATAAACAAAATATTGAATTCCATTAAAATATGGTTTACTGCTAAGGGCCTGTCAATCAACACCAACAAAACTAATGTTATGCTATTCCGTAACACCGTAAAAAAACAACACAATCCTGAATATCACAAGAGGTGATAAAATTGTGCAATCTGTTGAATTTTCCTAAATTTTAGGAGTGAGGATTGACAGTGATATGAAGTGGAAACACGAATTACAGGAGATTCTAAGTAAAATGGGCTCAGCTTGTTATATTCTAAGAAGCTTACAGAATTAAGCTGATATTGATAATTTAAATTTAGTATACTCGGATTGGGGCAGACTTAATTTAGTCCAATTTAACCCCATGAAGACACAGGTTTGCGCGTTTACCGCGAAGAGAAAACCCTATGTTGTATCTCCCTTTTTTGAAGGCACTCCCCTTGTTGCTACTGATTCGATCGGAATTCGATATATCGAGCAGCGTTCAATTTCGCGGTCATTTGGAAGGAAAAGCCAAGCTGGCTTCTAAAAAACTCGGTGTCCTAAACCGAGCGAGGCAGTATTTCCTGCCGATACATCGGTTGCAACTTTATAAAGCACAGATTCGGCCTCACATGGTACACTGTTCTCACCTCTGGGCTGGGGCACCGAAATACCAGCTCCTTCTATTTGACCGCATTCAACAAAGAGCTGCTCGAATCGTCGACGACCAAATCCTGTCCGATCGCCTCGATTCTTTGGCCTTGCGAAGGGATTTTGCATCCCTATGCATTTTCTATTGGATATATCATAGGGAGTGCTCTGAGGAATTGTTTGGGTTGATACCTGCTGGTGAATTTCACCATCGTACAACTCGTCAAACCGCCAAGTACCATCGACACCACTTTGATGGTTGGCGTTCCACCACAGTGCGTTTTTCACGAAACTTTCTACCCCGCACAACTACTTTGTGGAACGAGTTGTCGCCAGCGGTATTTCCAGTCCGATACGACTTAGGGACCTTCAAGAAGAGAGCCTATTCCTATCTTAAAGGCAGGCAACGCAATTGCGACTCAACCGATGTTGCAAATGTCCATGGGCTGCGGTGATCGCTTATCACCAGGTGACCCGCACCCGTTTGCCTCCAATGCCCATAAAAAAAATAAAAAAAATAGTATACTACGTCTTCGTAGAATCTAAAGTACTTTATAGTATTTTGTCCTGGGGAAGAATTTTTAAATATAATGTACACAAAGCCTTTCTTCATCAAAAAAGAGCAATTAGAACCATTGTATTTGTAAAGCAACAAGACTCATGTCTCGACCATTTCAAAAGACTTAGTATTTCAACTAGGATATACTGTTGATTGGTAATCTCAGATTATACAATATACTCTTTTTATGTCAACTGTGACCTGTTTGATTTATGTATTATGTTTCATAACTTTCAATTTGGAATATTAGTTATCCGTTACCGACCATGGAACAGTAGTGGCATCACACTAAAGAATACACTTCCGGAATATTAGTTTTATTTGTTCAGACTGAATTGTGTCATATTTGATTGATTCCGTAAAAATCGCTTGCTGAAGTAAACGTAGTGATTAAATTCTCTTTGGTTAAGCTTGCATGTATAGCTATCTGACATAACTCTTGTATTTTACACAAATTTCATAATGATTACGTTTCGTTAAAAATAACTTCAAAATGTTTAAGTTAAAATTAATATTTTTCTAATCAGTACTTAAGTGTCTTTTTGGTTTGAAAGTGATCCCATTAGCCACATCTCACATTCAAGATATGCAAGAGTAGCTTAAAAATACTTAGAAAATGTTACTACAGTGTCAACGAATTTCTAGACGATAATGCAATTAAATAACCTTCAATGTTTAGGTCCTTGATATCGGGCCATAAAATCCAAAAAAAAACCTTCAATGTTTAAAATTTTTTTCCCTGACATTTTAAAATTGTAACCATTGCTTTTTTTATTTTGGCAAACCATTACTATTTTTTTGACATTTTATTTTATTAATAATAATGAGACATAATTTCTATTGTAATTTAATACAGCGTGTCTTTACAATCGCGACAATAAATGAACACACATATCCCCTATAACATTTTAAAATTGTATTTGTAAAGGTCACAAAGCATATGAATGGGTTGAATGATTTCAAAAGAGACAAAACATACTGTTAGAAGGAGTGGCTTGTAATGCGACGCTGTGGCGCGAGTTGTTTAGGAGGATGTAACAAATTTTGTTTATTTTTTACTTAATTAGTTTGTATGAAAAATATTTTTTTTAATGATGGATTTTGGGTAACGTTAATATTTTTTTTATGATTATTGCCAAGTAGCGTTAAACGTGTGTTCATTTACTGTCGCCATGGTAACGACACGCTGTATAATTGTAATTTCAATGGTGAATCATTTTATTTGTATTTTGTTTTTGTTTTGCATGAACAATTCAACACAATTTGTATTGTTCATAATAAAGGAATAATGAGTACTACTTACCTTTCATGCATTTTTAAAATATGATAAAACCTAAGCGTGCGAAATAGAAATCACCGTCCTCGTATTTTAGTAATTTATATTCAAGAACAATTCCATAAAGAAGACTAAAGGTAAGTACCTAACCAACTTAAAGGTAAGTAACTATACAGGGTGGCTTTTCTACAGGTGCCCAAATTCACACAGGAGGTTGAGACTCGGTAGTATAATCATTTATTCAAATAAAAACAAGCTTTTTTTTTCCAAAAAATTGCAATTATATTCCCTAAAAACCAGAACTTGTCGACAATGCCGTAGTCATTCATAAATGCGTCGTATAGTTTTGAAAAAAAATTATTTGCGTGTTAGTTATAAATGATCGCGCGTAAAATAAATGAATTGCCCATAAATCACGCACTTTTTGAGATAAGTTTAAATTAATGTAATTAATTAATTACGAGTGATTTTAAATATTTATATTTTTTTTTATAGAACATTATTTATGTATAGAATTTGATAAAGAAAATGGATACACTTAGAAAATTCTCCCTGTATATAATATATGACAGTAGTTATAGTACAAACCAAAGGTACTTAATTTTGTCTTTAAATAAATCTAATGTTGACATAAATAATTATTTTATATTTGAGGTGGAGCAACGTGGCCGTCAACATCCCCCCCGCCCCCAGTGTCGGTGTGCCGACACGAATCAATAACGCGGAGTAAGGCCACGTATGCAGCTGATCGCCTTATCACTCCCGGCCTAGTTCTAATAATCTACTACTCTAACCTTGCCGTCCGAGCTTGGGTAAACCTTTTCAACAGCAGCAAACATATTGGCCAGCAATTACGAAACAATGACTGATCAACTACAACAACGAGATCTCCTACCTTAATTTGGTCACCGTCCCTATTCCATTTTCGGCGAGGAATGAGCTCGGGCAAGAATTCTCGGACCCATCTACTCCAAAACAAATCCGTTAGCCGTTGAGCTATGCGCCATTGATATCTGAGGTATAAGTTACCATCATCAAAGACTCCAGGTCAAGGTAAATTTAGTGACGGTTCTAACAAAAAATTATTCGGAGTTAACGCTTCTTCACTGCGTGGGTCCACCGAAACGTGTGTGACGGGGCGGCTTTTAATTATCTTCCCCACTTCAGTAAGAAGTGTCACTAAAAGTTCCTCTTGTGAGGCTCTTTCTTCTTTCTTTCTTCTGATAAGGCGCTCCCATGCGTCACCGATATGAGGGCTTGCTTGAGGTATAAATTGCCAGGTTTCTCCTCTGTTCAACGCCGCAGCAATACTAGCTGATCGATCTCTTCAAAAGATTTTTGGAGCTCAGAATCCGCTCCACGCATGTTGGTTCCATTATGTGGCAAAATTGTGAAAGGCCAACCCCAGCGCGCAGTCATCCTCCTAAGACACGTAAAAAGCACATCATATCTTTTAACTCTGCCTGCCCATCGTGACATTCATAGGCCCAAACAAATCTACGCCACAAATTGTGAAAGGCAAGTGATGATGTACCAATCTTTGAGCAGGTAGGTCATACGGCGGAGTGGTTTCGGCGTTGCTTTTCTTACTCGACAAATGAGGTACTGAGATGCTACGGAACGAACAGTAGGCCTTAAATTCACAAACCAGTATTTTTGGCGAAACTCCTTTATCACAAGTTCGTTATAGGAATGCGCAGCGCGTACATGATAGTCTTTTACTATTAGCCTGGCTATATGTCGCCGACAATCCAGAATCACCGTCCATTTCATACTTTCATTAACATATTTTACAACATTTATCGAACCACTGACTCGTTACTCCTACGTTATCATTATCAGTGTAATAAGGAGAAAAAGAGACAAAGTGATCAGTGCAAGTAGTATCGCAGTGCAGTAGTAGTAGTAACTTACTATGTTTTCGTACATATACCATCCGAACGCCGTTTGACTTATATACGGCTAACGCCGCTTTGTTTTTTTTTAATGCGAAAAGTTGTCAAACGAGCAGACGGTTCACCTGATGTTAAGTGAATACCGCCGCCCATAGACATCTGCTACACCCGAGGGTTTGCAGATGCGTCGACAACCTTTTTGGAAATTGGGCTCCGGCTACCTCACTCACCAGACGAAACGCGAAAGTATTTGTCATACTTCCACTTTACGCCGGTCTTCTGTGAGGTCATGGTACTTACCCGGACGAGCCTGCCCATTCGTGCAACAGCCAAGGCTACTGCGTAGCTCTACCACCGTCGAACCCTCGGCTTAACTCAGAGGTAGCGGATAGGAGTAATTAAATGATGATTATCTTGACCAATTAACAATTTTGGCTACGTATTACAATGGCAAAATTTAAAATCTACACTTAGCAGTCTGTAAGCACTTAGATCTACCCACTAACACTTATTACTTGTGACACACACTACCTCGCCTGAGTCTCATGCACCGCGTGCGCGCATAGTTAGATTCTCGCCCTGCAATCCTAGCTCGTAAGCGATATCAGCTGATATCAAGGTCACTGTCGCTCCATCGTCCAGAATGGCATGCGTATGCAAACTTAAGTTCGGCCCGCGAAGAGAGTGGCGCCACTTTCAAAAGCACCTCGTGGGATGCCACCGTATGAGTCACTGTATCAGGGCTGGGATGCTCATCTTCCTCTTCATTCTCAGTTTCAAGTTTTTCATTTTGTGGCTTACTCCAGTGGAGCAAACGATGGTGGAGCTGATTACAGCCCTCTATCTCACACATAGTGCCACGGCAAGTCGCTAAATTCGTATATCGCGGTTTATTTCTGCGTGCGAATCGTCAGCGGCGATTAAACCGAATGCAGTCTGATAGACTATGTATACCTCTGCGGCCAAAATTTACATTTGTTTATAGCAATACGAGGCGTGAGTGTTGTTTACGTTCATCGAGCTACTTTTTAAAGTTGTGTTGAGTATCAATATGGCTCTTTCCTGATGTAGCTGTCTTAGTAGCTTCTTCGTATAAAAACGTACTTAATAATTCCATTTTCGGTAGGTTACTCTTTCGCCGTTCATAAATATAATCTGTCCATTTTGTGAAAGTAAAGTTGGAAACTTTGAGACCACAATAGACACCAATTCTGGGCTACGAAGATAATCGTTCTGCTGTATAGCTTTTGATGCTGTCACATAATTCTTTATTTTAGTTGAAAAATTTATTATTTCGTTATGGTAAGATGATGGTAATAGGTACAAATTTTTTAGCTGTAGAACTATTTTTCTCATGATAGTTTCAGGTTTGCCAAATCGAAGTTCCAAAGTGTCAATTATCAGATCAGGTGACGTTTGACCAATCAAAAGGGATGTCACTGCTTCTATCGACTGCAAGCCGTTTGTTGAGCAGCTTGGACTTAATATTTGCCTTAATTTACGTAGGTTTACCTTGTCTTCTGCTTCAGCTTCAGCTTCTGCTAACTCCATTTCAAAGATTACCTTAGCTTTAGCAGCCTCCAACTCTAACTGTCGTTTACGTGCGGTTGACGAAATACCTGAGATTTTTCAGACACTTTTTATTTATGCTACAAGCACTTGGGTCTTTTACAGTAATTTCAGGCTCATCATCCTGCAAAGTACAAGAAGGAAAAACATCCTGGTCGTTCTTTTTACACTCCGATCTCGTAACCCCTCCTGCTCGTTTCTTCTTGCGCGGCGTAATAGACGAATGAAACATTTCTGTTACCGGTTTGTTTGTGGACGACGAAATTATTCGGCCACGATATGGGCGAGGTAGGTCGCTGGTGTCGTCAGGAGGCAAATCAAATAGCAGAAATTCTGTGTGCGCGTATACATCCGCAAGAAGGGTGACAGAATATGTGCGTGCTTATGGAGTCTAAGTGCAACTGACTAGGATCGCGTCAAATTCAACGGCTCTGCAACAAACTATGTACTACTACTTGCCATGTATTTTTAAAATATGATAAAACCTAAGCGCGCGAAATAGAAATCACTTTCCTCGTATGTATACGCCATTTTATTAATTTATATTCAAGAACAAGTCCATAAAGATGACAAAAGGTAAATAACTAACTTAAAGGTAAGTAACTATATTTATAACATCGTGTTAGAAACGAAGAAGACTGTAAGAGGTTGCGGATGGATATAGATAAGGTAGTTAAATGGAGTAAAGACAACCTTCTACAATTTAATACCTCGAAGTGCGTAACAATAACTTTCTCCCGCAAGAACAACCCAATCGTGTATAGTTGCAACATTGACGGGACAGCGATTGCTTGGGTCATCGTCATCAACGTTTCGTGATCACATAATAGGTTTTTACATAAAAGCGTACAGGAACCTGGGTTTTATTCTTCGAACAGCTAAAGGTTTTATAAACATCAAAGCGATTATTGCTTTATATAATACTTTGGTTAGAAGTCACCTGGAATATAATGCAATCATTTGGGCTCCATATGAAACTAAATATAGCCTCATGTTGGAACGAATACAAAGTAGAATCTTGAGATTTTTGTACATGAAACAGTATGGAGTTTATCCACTTTACCCGTTGATGTACCCAACGTTATTTATTGTGGGAATGGTTGGATACAACACATTAAGCCTTAGAAGAGATCTTTGTGTGGTAGTGTACATATTTGAATTAATAAGAGGAAATATTCATGATGCGGACTTATTGGGATAGGATAAATAGGCTTGTGCGTTCCCAATAATTACATTTATCGGCGGCGCAGATCACAGTTGTTTGTTGTACTGCAAGGGCGCTCCCAGTTATTGAATGAGCCGCTGTGAACGCGTGCACTGCGCACTAAATATTATTGCTAGGGATATAGATTTATTCTTGTGTTCTCTGAGTGAATTCAAAAAGGTTGCATTGTTAATTTGTAGTGGATATAGTAAACAAGCAGTTTTTTCTTTTTGTTGTAGATTGTCGCACTATTGTATTACGTCAAGTACCTGTAATAATAGTGTAAGGTTTTGTTAATTAATAAATAAATAATATATGACAGTAGTTATAGTAAAAACCAAAAGTACTTAATTTTGATTTTAAATTAAATCTAATGTTTACATAAACTATTTATAATTATTTTATATTTCTGGTGGAGCAGCGTGGCCGTCATCAACATATATGTTTAATGATTTCAATAAATACTTTGTTCAAATAAGCTTTTGAATATAAATATTGACATTTAAGTTCAATTGAAGTTCTAACCTTTGCTATGTGAGTCATTCGTCAATATTCGATACTAGAACATATCCAGGAGAGTAATAAATCGTGATTTAATGGCGGGACGATTAGTTAAGAAAAATTAAATCACGAAAACAATAAATTAACTAAAAATTAATTGACGAGAACTAATCATTTATGAAAGCACAAGATGAATGGAAGGAAAGTGATTACTTTCCTTCCATTCATCTTTGATTGTTTAAATTCATCTTTGATTTTTGATTGATTTTTCATCTTTGATTGTTGTAAATAGATTTATTTACGGAAACAATTAATTTTTGGAATAGGAAGTTTTGTAATTTAATACGTGATGATCATATTAAGGTATGCAGACTTGCTATTAACTACATAACAATAACAACAAAATGTAAGCGATTCAAAGGCGGCCTGGTGATAACATCACAACATCAACCTTTTTACTTTCTCTAGATAGGTTGGACCTTGCATCTGAGGGGTCTTTGCCGTCACTTGTTGGTCGAACTGACTATCTTAACCAGTTTCTGTAGTACTTTACTCTATGATCTTAACTAACTGGGGGCGCGCAGATATAGCGTAACGGACATCATCGTACACACTAACTACATTGTTTTTTCTGAATTCGTGACCCCGGGCACCTCTTCCGACGAAACGCATAAAGCTCCCATTATAATAGCAAAGTACACAAATTTTTCAATAAAAATTATTAAGCCAACTGTATGGAGGTATAATTTAATATTTCTTAAATATTAATAATGAATTTCTGTTTCTTTTTTAATCATTAATTTTTTTAGTAAAATATCGACCAATGTATAAAAATTACTAGGGACCTTTTATCATAGTCTGTGCTGACGCTAGTGATGCCGAAAGTGAAGAAATTTATCAATATATTTCTTCACTTCCTCGATATATCGAAGAGAAAATATCGAAATAATGGTATTTTCTTTTTATGCTCTGTTGTCCAAAAGAAAACGTAAAAATATCGTTTTTGATACGGTTTCGATATTGAATATTTTATATCGACATATCAGATCAATACAGATATATATATCGATATTTCTTCGGCATCCCTAGCTGAAGCTCGATGATAGGATAAGTGATAATGTGCTGAGCTCAGCAGTTCGGCCGTAGTTAAATTTTTCACTTTTTTCTCATTGCTTAATTTGAATCATCAAATATGGAAGATAAGATTATTGTAGAAGAAAATCAAAAAGTTAATGAGGAAAAACACACTAAAAAGAAAAATAAAAATAAGAAAAAGCGCAGCGCGGGCGATGGGGACCATGGCAGCTCAGGAACGTCCGAAATTGCCAATCCGGGCGATGTTCATCAAAACATTCCTTTAATAGATCTAAAAATAGCTATGGAAGTGTTAAATCTTCAGCAAAAACCGGCCAAAACTACTGAAGAAGCTTTGCATAAGTCTTACAAATTTTGGTCCACACAACCCGTGCCGAAAATGGACGAAAAAATAATTTCAAATGAGCCTATAGAACCGCCAAAGGACCCTGAAGAAATACGTTCTGAACCTTATACTCTACCCGATGGTTTTCAGTGGGATACCTTAAATCTTAATGAACCATTAGTATTGAAAGAGCTTTATACATTATTAAACGAAAATTATGTTGAAGATGATGATTGCATGTTTAGATTCGACTATCAAACTGATTTTCTTAAATGGGCTTTACAACCGCCTGGTTGGAGAATGGAATGGCATTGTGGAGTTCGTGTTATAAAGTCTGGTAGGTTGGTTGGGTTTATATCAGCTATACCGGCTCAGTTGAGAATTTATGAGCATGTTCAAACTGTTGTAGAAATAAACTTTTTGTGTGTTCATAAAAAACTCCGTGCCAAACGAGTTGCTCCTGTGCTCATTAGGGAAATAACCCGTAGGGTCAATTTAACAGGCGTATTTCAAGGTGTTTATACTGCTGGAATTGTTTTACCTAAACCTATTGCTACATGCCGATATTGGCATAGGTCATTGAACCCAAAGAAATTAATTGATATAAAATTTAGCCATTTATCAAGAAACATGACCATGCAAAGAACTCTTAAGTTATTTAAGCTTCCAGATTTACCAAAAACCAATGGATTTCGAAAATTGGAGCCTGAAGATTATGAAAAAGTTCTTAAACTTCTAAATGATTATTTAAAAAAGTTTGATTTGGCTCCCATATTTTCAGATGAAGATTTTAAGCATTGGTTTGTCCCACAAAATGGAATTATTGATAGCTTTGTTGTTGAAGCATCTGATGGTGAAATAACTGATTTCGTAAGCTATTATACCCTTCCGTCCACTGTAGTGTACCATCCAGTGCATAAAACACTAAAAGCTGCCTACTCTTTTTATAATGTTTCCACGAAAACTCCTTGGACAGATTTAATGCTTGATGCATTGATAAGTGCTAAAAATTCTGGTTTTGATGTGTTTAATGCTTTAGATTTAATGGATAACAAAGAATTTTTAGAACCACTTAAGTTTGGTATTGGCGATGGAAACTTGCAATACTATTTATACAATTGGAGATGTCCCAGTATAACTCCGAACAAAATTGGATTAGTTCTTCAATAGCAGTTTTACAATGTGTTTATGTATGTTAGCTTGCTAACTGCTTTCTTATTTATATTTACATTTATATTTTGTCTCAAAATATGTAATGTTTTTATTGATTCTAAATATAATTATAGTTGACAGAGATTTTTTCCTAATTTATCCATATGCCTATACATAAATTTTTTTCTATTTATTTGTATTGTTAATAATTAATGACAGAATAACAATGATGATATTTAGTAAACTGATTGCTCTTTTTATTTCATTTATTTTTGCAAATTTATTTAATCTGTTTTGATTGCATGTAACTCAATTATAATAGAAGTAGTAGCAAAAATGCCAGTCACTGAATAAGTACAGTGGACTCATTTTTTACAGTGTAAAAATGTCTTTAAATATTTATACCCAATAGTAACTAATGCAAATTGGTTAATGTCTTCTACCATATCACCAATGACCTTATAAATAAAAATATTTTTCCAGACATGTTAACACCTATAGGTGTAATATATTTCATAAAACATCAAATACCAAAAATCCTGAAATTGAGTAAAATATAAACACTGATTTAATAAGCTTTAAATTTAAAGTATGCAATTGATTGAAATGATAATAAAATATATTATTTATATGTTCATAATAGTTCTTTATAAGATACAAATAAATGTTTTACCCTGTCATATTTGGATAATGGAAATGGAAAATAAAACTGATAAAGTTTTATTTCATGAAAATTATTATCATAAAGTTTTTCAATTGTGTAAAATATATAAATATTTCGAACTGTTCTGTTTTGGCAATGTTTATTGAATTATTTAAGTGCTTCATAAATCAGTGAATTATGTGTGAACTAAAATTGAACAGTATTATTTTACAGGTTTATTCATAGTTTTAATGTTAGTTGATCTGTAAATGATTTTCTAATAATTCAATAGTATTTTGAATTAACTATACTAAGCAAATGCATTTATTTTCCTTGTCAACGCACCAATCGCATCCTGAAATCAACAAGGGCATTTCGACTAAAAGTGTGCAATATTTCAACTCTGAAGAATATTCCTGAATACCGAATGTATTCTTTTTTATCCCTTTCCATTTGTAGATACGATTCTTTTTTAATGTGAATCATGATGATTGAAATACGATTAAGCTATTCTGTTCTACTGGTGTTGTTTTTTTCCGCATTTCGGTCGTATTATTAAACAATTATAAATAACTGTAACGCGTAGTTTTGCCTTATAACTCATCAAGTGCTATTTATATTACTCTGCATACAAATATAATAAGTCTGTAATGTAGTACATAGTATTTCATAAATATGTCTAGACTTTGACAACAAACAGCTACTCGTATACGCCAACTTTCACAAATGAACATAAGGTAGGGAATCTACGGAACTCTACAACCTCAAAACCATACTCAACTTTTTGGCCTCAGCAGTAGCCTGTAAAACTAGTAAAATGAACAAATTGAAATATGTAATATGTGTGTCTCTTTATAACATCACTGAATTTTAAAAGAAGTCAAACGATAAACGATTTTTCTCTGTTTAAATTGTACTGTTACCACATACCAATTAGTAACATTTATCATAAACAAGCTGTATGGCAGTAGCACCCAACTGGCAGTAGCACCCAACTGGCTGTAGCGCCCAACTGGCTGTAGCGCCCAACTGGCTGTAGCGCCCAACTGGCTGTAGCGCCCAACTGGCTGTAGCGCCCAAGTTGCTGTAGCGCCCAACTGGCTGTAGCGCCCAACTGGCTGTAGCGCACAACTGGCTGTAGCCCCACCGGGCTGTAGCACCCAACGGGCTGTAGCACCCAACGGGCTGTAGCACCCAACGGGCTGTAGCACCCAACTGGCTGTAGCACCCAACAGGCTGTAGCACCCAACTGGCTGTAGCACCCAACTGGCCGTAGCACCCAACTGGCCGTAGCACCCAACTGGATGTAGCAACCAACTGGTTGTAGCACGCAAAGGGCTGTAGCACCGAACTGGCAGTAGCACCGAACTGGCTGTAGCACCCAACTGGCTGTAGCACCCAACTGGCTGAGGCATCCAACTGGCTGTAGCACCCAACTGGCTATAGCACCCAACTGGCTGTAGCACCCAACTGGCTATAGCACCCAACTGGCTATAGCACCCAACTGGCTATAGCACCCAACTGGCTATAGCACCCAACTGGCTGTAGCACCTAACTATCTGTAACACCTAACTATCTGCAACACCTAACTTGCTATAGCACCAAACTATCTGTAGCACTTATGTAACTATTCCGCTTAACTAGGCGTTATTGAGTTTAGCTTTACGATCATTTCGGGTATTATATCGCATATACGTTTGATTTTGATATACAGCGTGTCGTTACCATCGCGAAAATAAATGAACACACGTCTAACGCTACTTGCCAATAATCATAAAAAAATATTAACGTTAAACAAAATCCATAATTAAAAAAAAATCTTTTTCAAACAAACTAATTAAGTAAAAAAGAAACAAAATTTGTAACATCCTATACAACTCGCGCCACAGCGTCGCATTACAAGCCTCTCCTTCTAACAGTATGTTTGTCTCTTTTAAATTCATTCAACCCATTCATATGCTTTGTGACCTTTACAAATGAACTTTACTTTACAGTTTTATACGTACGGGTGTTCTAAAATTCTTTGTTTTGGAAAATTAAATAACTCTGTAAATATTGATGTTTAAAGATTGTAAATGTTTAATACAATTTTAAAAAGTTATCCCCTATATGTGTGTTCATTTATTGTCGCGATTGTAAAGACAAGCTGTATAAATAAATAAATAAATATTTTAGGACACATTTTTACACTAACGTTCTCTAGTCCTAAACTAAGCAACGCTTGTACTATGGGTACTAGATAATCGATAAACATACTCGAACATACCTTTCTTGTATAAATATGTATTTATTTATATTATATCTATATAAACACCCAGACACCAGAAAAACACTATGTTCATCAGAGAATATTTTCCAGTAGTGGGGTTCGAACCCACACCCTCTGGCGCAAGAGACGGGTACACTATCTACTACGCCGTTCGGGTCGGCAAAATATATGGATGACAATCGTGAAACTAGGTCATAGGGAGGTCTTATTTTTCTGCATAAAATATAACATATACACACAAGAGAAACTGTGGTGCTTTCATGAACAACAGTACTACAAGACAAAATGAATAATATACTTGTGCCAATCATTCTGGTGACTGTCTACCAATTTTCTTAAGCTTTAAGGTATGGTTAAAACGTTAAACTGTTCCATTAGGCTGTGGGTGTTGTGTTCATATTTTGCGGTTTCCCATAGATTTGTAAATCTCCTGAAATACAGACAGTTAAAAATTCCTTCTTTAGGCACTATAAATTTCGAAAGTTAGACCAAATTACTGAGTTCTTTATTGTGTAATGTTTTGGGCACTGTAACTCTCTCTCACTGTAATAGGTATACATACTAACAGCTTTCATTGTGTAAAATCTATCAATACTAGAAAAAGCTTCCCTTAGCACCCAATGGAAACTGAACGAATCGAGAGCGAATATTTACCAAGGGGCTCCTACAATGTACAGTTTCAACGGCACTCTACTTCTTGGCTGAGTTACTTTCACAGACACTGGACCCATTTCCGACACCACTCTTTATTATCACAGCATTGAAGTCAGTAAAAGGTACGTTCTATTTTTAATAACGTCTTCTTCACATGCAAATGTCCACCTGCAGGCGCATCATGAAAAGCTCTCAGTGGCTTGCGTACTTTTGATTCGTAGTACAATTATTGCGAAATAACTTTCCCGGTCTTGTGCCTTCTCTCATTGCGGGCATAGGATGCCGTTTTGTAACACCCATGGTCCCAATACCAATAGTTGCTGTACTTGTTCCGGTAATATTGCTTATGCTTATGCCATTTGGGTTATGGTGATCCTTAATAATTCAAGATTTTATAAAATGCGTTTCTATGCAACGTCGTGATCGCGTAGTCTCGTTAGTAACGAATTAAAAGTTTCTCGTCATTCCGTTACACACTGAAATCATTGTCAGTTATCATTTGTAAGGTATGAGTTTCTTTCTCCTCTGCAATACTAACAGTCAATGCTGCACAATCTTTGTTACAGGAAATCTGAGCTAGAATGAATCTTCCCCCAACGATGTTCAATTATTATAAATCCTAATAAAACCGTACTCCTCCTCTATCCACTGTGCAATTTGTGCTTTCGATTAATGAAATAGCAAAAGCTAGTTAAATGTCACATGTTCTGTTCTGATTAGTAGTTTTCGACCTAAGAAATACTTTATAATTGTTATTAAGTCTTTACAATCGCCAAAATAACTCTCTTCAGATCACAAAATAATTTTTCTGTTTCTCAAAAAACACTTGCTTAAGTATGAGGTGTAAACTTTCTATAACCTTCTTGTAACATGGTTAAGTACCAAGAATTGGACTCTTATAAAACGACGGACTCGGTTTGACACTTCTCAAAAAAATAAACAAATATAATATAGCCTTTATTATATTTAAGTTGTTTGATATGTCTTTTAAAATTAACTTTCGTGTAAACACCGATGTTGACCTTGTATTAAATGACTGAAATTAAAATGCATTCATGAATTTATTAATTTCACTAGCTGTCGTTTGTCTTTAATTATTTAACTGAACTGAACTCCTCCTAAAAGGCTGGATCGATTTTAATGAAATTTTTTGTGTGTCTTCAAGTCCATTCGAGAATGGTTTAGATTCACAATTCCGGACACTAAAACTTTTATTTATTTATAAGTTATCGGATTTAAATCGTCCCCCAAAAACTCTTATTTTTTCATTTCGATCGTAATATCTAAAACCTATTGATAAAATTGTTACGTTCTGGATACATCAACAGAACCATTAGCCATAACACTATATTTACATAAGCGGCTTGTTTTGAAGTTCACACGCACACACTCCCAGTGAGATAATAGCTACCGATCGAGCCAAGGTCCGGCCCTCGCAGGCACCCTCGAATCGGGATGCTAAACGCGTTTTGAGTGACCCTTGAGCCTAGTCACTCCATGAAGCGTCCGCCAAAACACCCTAAGAGCTTGGCGGCCTCCCAAACCGATAATATTAATAATAGCCCGACCCAAGGCTCCTTCGGGAGCCCTCGAGCTTAGTCACAATAACACGTAATAATAATACGCCGATTTTCAAGCTAGGCACCCCGTGCGCCAGGCCACCTCAACTCCGTCGCATCTGTAAAGGCCCCTAAGGCCAAAATGGCTCATCCAGCCTAAAAAAATATTTATTTTTAAGTGCTGACTTAGCTTTATTATAGTTATGAGCTCGGAACGGTAAAGGAAAGCATCTTGAGGAAACAAAATTATTATTTACGGTTTAGGGTTCTCCCCTGTCTTCGCGACCCAACTGCAATTATTTTACAAATATGCAATGAAGATTGATATTATCAAAGCCATATACGCATAAGTTTTATTAGGCGTGACTTCGTAATCTATTAACTTGTCGTTTTATATCGTATTTCAAATTCACATTTGCGAAAATAAAGTTTTCAATGTTTCGCAATATATGGGCAAAAGTAAACGCCGTCTGTGTCAGGGACACCTATTGAGAAATTAACTAAACGCGAGTGCTTTAGTAGAAGCCAACAAAGTACTTTTATATCGCTATTATCTTCGGCTAGTTTCTTAATAATTTAAACTCTTTCTCATGAATTTGTTTTCGAGTAATAACATCTATTGAATACATCATTAGGTATCGCGTTTCATGGTATACGATATTCCTATGCTAAGCAATTATTTTGCTATCTATAGAGGTATTTCACAGAATAAAAGTGCATTTTAATTAATAAGCCATGGAATGTTACATTATGAATCACGTGAATAGGTACTAAATAAGTAGTTGAAAATTTGAGGATGGCATAAATAGCGACCAGTCTAGACAAGATCTGTATAGAAAAATAGATACCGTAGTTTAATGCACATAAACGAATAAATGATAACAATTACCAACTAGACTGTAACTAACGAGTAAATTTAAATGCATTGAACTGTATCAAATTGGTATGTTGATAACTACTTGCTGTAAATATACACTATATCTAATTTAGGGTAGATTTAATCTAGTAAATATTAGATAAATAAATATTATTACCAATTAATATACTTTAACATCAATAACAAAGCTACCATAGTTTATTGGAAAAAAAACTTCAACGATTAATAAAAACTAGTACAATTAAAAATTTTTACATCATATTTCTTGTTAATATAAAATTCGGGTAATTAATGAAACACTCGGTTATAGTGAATATTCCATAGAATATATTTTAACAATATATAATAAATCAATCAGTTACATTGGCGACCAAGTTTTCAATACATGGTAGACAAATTTCCAATGTAAGCTGATGAAGGAAAAATAAAAGAAAGATAATTGCAAGAACAAAAGCCAACTCCTTATTATTTACTCATCATTACTAAGAAAGAAAAAAAAGTTCAAGAAAGTAAACTTAAATCCAACTTCTTGGTCAATGTAAAAAGTCAAAGTACCCAGTAGCATACACACTTTCAAGTATAGAAATGTTGATAGTTGCTTTATTTTTGTTTGTGTAAATGCACCCCCAATAATGATTATAAAAGATATAAGATGGAAAAGTGCATTCCACTTTTTATTTTATTTTTCAATTTTTATTTATAATTTTTTTTTATGACCGGGACTGTTACTAAAATAAATTGAAAGATGTTCAAAGCATTAAAGAAAGATAAAACAGCAGAAATAAAACTTGCAACTTAGTTTTTGCCACTTAATCTTTTTTGGTGGCTTGCTGTTTAGCTTGGTGAGCTTGCAAAACAGCAACAGCCTCGTCAACTTTTGCTTTAAGTGACTCTCCATGCTCCAACATATGAAGCAATTCTGAGTTGTCAATTTCCAAAAGCATTCCAGTAATTTTCCCAGCCAAATCAGGATGCATTCTTTGAATAAGCGGGAACAGTCTTTCACCTAGCATTTGCTTCTGTTCCTGTAAGGGTGCTGCAGCTAACATGGTGGTAGTTAACGGTTCTTGACCTTGGATATGTACTGCTGGTTGTGGAGCAGGTGGATTGCGCATGTTAGCAGTGTATTTATAGCCAGCAGGACGTCCAGATTGAGGCACAATTGGAGCACGAATCGAAGCAGCTGTAGCAACACCTTGTTGTCCTGTTATAGGTCTAGCTCCCATCGATGAACGCAGTGCTGCTTGAGCAGGTCCGCGTGGAGCAGGACGGAATGGTGGCTGCATGTTGGGATAAGCTGATGCAGCGCTTTGAGTACTTGGCCTAACTGCTGGCTGTGCAGTCCAACGAGGTGAAGGTCTTATTTGTGTCATTTGGGCTGGACCATAGAAACGTTGAGTGGGAGGAATAGTGGGTACGAAATAACCTCCTGCACTGCCAGGTTGGAATATCTGACCCATTTGCTGCATACGCATACTTGCCATACGTTGCATATACTGCGATGTTAAATGTGCTTTACGGTCTTCTTTACGCTGTGCCAATGCTACATACAATGGTTTTGTTCCAACTATCCGGCCATTCATTTCAGTCACTGCCTTAGTAGCTTCTTCAGGAGAAGAAAAGCATACAAACCCAAACCCTTTACTGCGGCCATCCTCAAGCATCACCTTGAAATAAAAATAAAATAACATTAAACATTTATTTAAATTGCAAAAACTTAAGGAAAAGTTAAGAAAACTACCTTTGCTGAAGTAATTGTGCCAAATGGTGCAAATTCCTTGCGGAGGCGTTCATCATCAATAGTATCATCTAAATTCTTCACATATAAGTTAACACCTTGATAACGAGTCAAGCGTTCAGATTTCAACTGTTCAAATTTACGCTTCAATTCTTTTTGCCGCTCAGCTTTCTTTTGAGCACGTCCTACATACAATGGTTTGCCTTCTACAAGTTCTTTGCCATTTAGCTCCATGCAAGCTCTTTCAGCAGCATCAGGGTCTTCAAATGCAACAAAACCAAAACCTCTGGAACTCCCATCTTCCTTATACATCACTTTATGACTAGTGATGCGGCCATATTTTTCAAACATATCTTTTAGCATTTCATCACTAAAATCTTCACCAAAATTCTTTACATAGACATTTGTGAACAATTTTGCCTTTTCACCGAGTTCCTTTTCACGTTCTTTGCGAGGAATAAATCTGCCTACATATACTTTTTTGCCATTTAGCAGCATTCCATTCACTTTTTCAATTGATTTGTTAGCAGCTTCTTCAGTTTCAAAATGGACAAATCCATAACCTTTTGAGGCACCAGTTTCATCTTGAGCAACTTTACAACTCAGAATATTACCAAAAGCGGAAAAAGTATCATACATAGCTTTGTTATCAATTGTCTTGTCTAAATTTTTAATGAACACATTTCCAACACCTGACTTGCGTAAAGATGGATCACGTTGAGACCACATAATTCTAATTGGTCTACCTTTTATCATATCAAAATTCATACCTTCTAAAGCTCTTTCAGCTGCAACAGAAAGCATAATTATATTGAGAAATGGATATAAAAGAAATTATCACATTAACAGGTGTAAAGTTAATGGTATATTACATTAGTTTCAATGGATCTAACTGATTTAAAATACTATATAAACATTTGCACATTTATTTTAAAGACTTTTTAATTTGACCTTGAAATTAGCTAACTTGGTACATTTAAAAGCAAGTTGTGAAGTGTAGTAAAGTTAATGATGTCATAAGGAATTACATCAGTCAAACTGTTTAAAAATTTATCTTCTTAAATTTGTAATCAATCATTGGAATGTTTATGAAATATACAAGTTAAAAAGGCATCGAGTTAATCACGTTTATGATAATTATTACACAATATTGAAACTTACCATCGCCAGGTTGCTGAAAATTTACGTAAGCGTAGCCTAAAGATCTGCGAGTTATCATGTCCCGACAAACTCGGATAGATAGAACAGGACCAACGGTTGAAAATTTTTCAAACAACATGGCTTCAGTAATATCGGAGTGTAAATCTCCGACATATAATGATGCCATAGGATAACTGGGTGGCCCTGGATTCATTTTCGAGATATCACTGTGATCGGTTTACGTAGGGCATGAATTAACTGTACGCTAAAAAACAACTTCACTTTCTCTTTACGATTACCTATCGCATTCCTTAGACCACGTTGCACGCTTACGTACACTAACTTATAAGCGAGGAATTCCCGTTTATTATTTTATATTTTACTATTTTTTTGGGTTTTTATAAATTTTGTGCTTTTTTTTTTATTTTAGAAGAATATTTCACGAAATTATGAGGATTGTGTGACCTATTTCTGAGGGACCACACAACCTCACGTGAACACACCTTGCTCACCAAAGGAAAGGTGACGTTTGTGGATTGTGATTTGTAAAAGACAAAAAGCAAAATGGCCGTTATGTGTGGCCATAGTTTTTTAAGGGTATGTAAGAAGCTAAGCTAAAGAAAATAAAATCATTTTTCCAATGAATAACATTTTTCGTTTAATAATAATCATGAGGAACAAAAACATTTTCTTTTTTTATTAAATCACTAAATTACGGTCTAGTTTTTCTGCTATATTGGAGATTAAGTAAGGGCCGGGCGCTGAACGCTAGGCTGGCGTTGCTAGATTCAGAATAATAATAAGGTGTAGGTATGATTTAGGTATGGTGAAAAAGATAGTACAAAAAATTTTAAAGGATATTACATACTATTTGTAAAAAATTATATTACTCTTTATAATTTTGATTTTAACGGGTATTAATTTACTCCTCTTCTAAGTTTATCAATTCTTCAATATTAGTTTCATCCTTAGAATTTAATTTTTTTAACATATCCTCAGTAGTAATATAATCAGTACAAATTACACTATTTTACCATCTTTGATCGGATCACGAGACAATAAAAAGGCGTCTATGGATTATGTTTATTTCTTATCCTAGACTAAGAAATAATAAATTAATCGTACTATTATACACATATACACACACATACTACATCAATGCACTCTATTAACTACCCACACTGTGCAATATGTAAAGTTACTCTTCAACAAACTAAGTATAGAAAAAAAAAATTAACGGTAAGTCCCCGTAAACAGTTCATTGATAAAAATATATTATTTATAATCCGTGGTAATAATTGACAAAGACTCGTGGTAATATCCACTTTGTATTGTTTAAACTTTACAGCGTTATTACAACCCAATCAACCTTTTTAAATGTTGGATTGGCATTTATATTGGTCATTTAGGTAAATTAACGAAATTATAGTACATTTCCGTACTATCCTTAGATATGGAGATTAGATAGTACGACGCAAATGAAATTATGGTACAAACACTATAATCATAGTACAAAATCCTACCCTGGGTGTAGGCCCCATTGTTGGAGCTGCAAATTAATGTTTACTTCCATTTTGCATTTACATCTACACGATGTATCTAATAAAATTATTAGTATTCATTTTCGAAGTTTTTCCTTTTGGTCCATTTTTCTACATGTTTTAAATTTCGTCATACGTCCAGAGAATATCACCTATTATAAATATTTATATCATTTACAAACATTATATATAATTATAAATATTATAAACTGCGCAATAACTTTACACACTTCAGAGAAAAATAACTCTTCTACAATTCCCTCACTGCTTTGCGGGCAACCAGAGACCAATTCTAATTGGTATGGGTTCACAACAATGGACGACCAAGCCCTACCCCATTCATCCATGAACCCAGTTTCATCTTTTAGTCACCTTATAGCCTCAGCTCAGGCAGTGGATGAGGTAGGCAGTGGTTGTGGTAGGGCCACGAAGCACCGTAAATTATAGCACGACAATGTTACATACGATATATGTTACTCTCCGAAATATTTAAAAAGTTGTTTAAGTTTATGCCTAACTGCTAAAACTAACTATCAACCGCTAAAACCTCGTAATAAAATAATGTTATTATAAAAATATTAATAATTAATTAGACTAAATTTAAAACTCTGTCGAAAGGGACGAGCAATACGTGCAATTTTGTTGCCTGTTGCCGTTCACTGTGCTAATTTGAGTGTGTACACTACGGCAACAGTCAAGTACCCCGCAGAGGTTAGGCGGGCGCGCGAAGCGTGCATTTGCACTAAAAAAAAGAAGGCGATTCTATTTGGGTCTAATTGCAAGCCAAGTTGTTTCGTCACTGTCTGACGGTTTACACTAATGTACTTACTCACTGTACTTGTCTACTTTACTAAACACTTGACCAGTGTAAATTGGGATTTGAGTGCGTGTTGACGGACACTTTTTGTATCTACTCTCTATAGCTCAACTCCGTATTCTTAGTGATGAAAAACCGTACTATTTGACACTAGGTCAACAAATTAATATGATTGTATAGATTGAGTTACTCCAGCCCCTTTATTTTAATAACTTTATTTTTCTTAATCAAAGAAAATAACAAGAAATAAACGTAGGAAAAATGTAAGATGTCAAAAAATTCCTGAATATATACTTAAATATATATACCCTAAAATACTTTTCAATATTTAATTTATTTCTACTCTTTAGAATACATTTTGCATGCATCTAGCGTGATGCATTCACAGTTTTTCACTATACTTAATTTTTTAGAAGCTATCTTTATATCCCAATTTAAATAAAAAGTAACTTTTTATTAAGATGAAAATCTGGGAAAACACATAGTAGCACACACACACACACACACACAAACATTGATCCCACAAAGATTCTAGGTTTAAAAATATATCAAATGACAAAAAACTGGCTAATTGCGAGTCGGACTTGTGAACGAAGGGTCCTTAGCATTATCTAAAGTGCAATTGTATTTGTAGGAGGACTATATTCAACTCTGAGGACTATCTTTAATGACGACAACTATGTATGTATGGGGACAGCCTTTAATTGTCAACTTTTTTTTTTTTTGGAAATTTTCCTCTACTTGTGTTGTAAGTTTATAGATGCTTTGTACCTTGCCAAAATTGTTATATTATGTTAGATGTTAGTTCATATAGGTTAAATTTTGAATATTTGATTTAGTATTATTATAAACTTTTAGTGCTAATAGAGTTTTTTGAAGCCGGTTCTTTTTTTTTTATTAATTATTTATTTTTAGTGATGTAATTTTAATGACTAAGTATTATAAAATGGGTAGACCTAGCAAAGACGCTGCTCGTATGAGAAAACGATTAATAAATAAATAAAAAGGAAAACGATTAAAAGCAAGGAAGAAAATCTTTAAGCATTTCAAATGAGAAGCCTGACCAGCGCGAAAATAGATTGTTAAAAAAAGGTCTTAAGTTATACGTAGGTTAAATGACGAAAATCTAGAAAATTACAATTGTCTTAGTTTAATTCGCACTTCGTTTATTTCCAGATATTAAAGATTTGACAACGGCTCAACTTGAATTGCTTTGCTTCCTAACTTGATATGCCAAGGAATACTGCTGATAGAAGATTTTGCCGATGGAGTTCGAATTTATCCCACTGTCAGATAAGTACATGATTACAATGCACACATGATGAAGGACCATTTCGAATAAAAGCCTATCGAATAAAAAAGAATTTTGCAAATCCAAGACATAAACATCCGATTTATATAACTTTCTCCATTTGAAGTCGGTTAAATAACACCTTAGCCCTAATAATACCTTAGCCCTATTCTAACAGCTCAAGACTACAGAGCTCCATCCCTAGCATTCCTATATAGTCTTTATTTGGTTTATCTCAGAGATACTCATAATTTTTGTATATTCACTACATGGTATAAAACAAAGTCGTCGCGCTGTCTGTCTATCCCTATGTATGATTAGATCTTTAAAATACGCAACGGATCTTGATGCGGTGTTTTTACTAGATAGAGTGATTCTAGAGGAAGGTCTATATGTATAATACATTAAATCCGTGTGAAGCCGGGGCTGGTCGCAAGTTTCTTTATATATATTATTGTCTTTTCGTACCGAATTTTAGTATGGTTTTTGACATTTTTCCATGGAAAAATATAGGTAACGAACGGCGAGCCTCGTACAAAATCAGTACAGGGCGATTAGTTTGGGGCGCAACACTTGCCTAAGCAGTGTTTAGACAAGTGAAGATACGTTTGCGTATATTGCCCTACTAGCCTGTAGTCTAAATAATTTAAGAGGACCGAATCCCGCCTTCACCCAGCCAGATAACAGCTACCGATCGAGCCGAGGTCCGGCTCTCTCGGGCACCCTCGAATCGACAGCCCAAGTCAAGGTCCCTTCTTGGGGACCCTTGAGCCTAGTCACTCCATGGAGCGTCCGCCAAAGCGCCTTAAGAGTTTGGCGGCCTCCTAAACCGGTGATAATAATAGCGTAACGGTCCGAGGCGAGACTACCTCGGGAGCCCTCGAGCTTAGTCACCATAACGCGTAATAATAATACGCCGAGGTTCTGGCTAGGCACCCCGAGCGCCCGGCAACCTCAAGTCCGGCGAAACTGTAAAGGCCCCTAAGGCCAACAGTGGCTCATCAAACCCAAAAAGTCTCGCCTTCGACACTCGAATCCGAGTATCGCTTAGATGCTACGAATTTTTATTATAATGTAAACAACCAGAGAAGAGAACCGCACGGCGAGTTACCATAGGATCATAGCTGATGCTTTTTCGTCACGTTCGAGAAACTCTTCTTGTGTAAATGAGGACCTAAAATTGTTTTGTCGATGAAATTGTATGTACTTCATGCCCTTAAATTATTGCTAGTCGACGACCAGACACGTTGTATTTATTTATTTTTTATAATAAATCAAGATCTCTAATAATTATTAAAGCTTATTGTAGTAGCTTATATATTTATATGCTAACGCTTGAGTTCTTTTCGATAGTACTGCTCCCAGGAAAACCCAAAGAATCCAAAGTCGTGTGAGAACGCACCCTACATCCAAAAACTCTACGACCCGTTCGAAATGGCAAAAACTGTCAGTCAGTTTATGTCAACCAAGTAAAAGTAGCTTAATTTGCTAGTTGTGACTGTGTCTACGAAATAAAAAACAAACGACCGAATAGATTGATACGGCTTTAGTGGTAATTTACTTTCAATTGTATTTAAATAATAATAGGTTCCAATTATTATTGTTTTTGTACCTTTATTCTATAAACTCATTTGAAGGTAAACAGAAGTGAACATGTACCCAATTTTTAATGAAACATTCTGATTTCTCTTTCTTACGCACGCTGTATTCATTACTATTACGTATGCATTACGATTTTTTTTGTTTCAGAAGCAGTTCTTGATATTATATATATAGTCGATCGATATGAAAGCTGCTTGTCCTACCGTATAAACCTCTCGGAGGTAAAAGGTGGTGGGCCATATCTGTTTAACAATAATCTGGCAGGTATTATATTTTATTATAGATTTTTAAATGTAATTTTGATTAAATGGCTTAAGAAAATTCAGCAAATAACTTTAGAAGTTATGTTCCATACCCGTCACACTTGGCACTAATTAAAGTTGGTGAAACATGGATATAATTACCTTTTTTAGCCACCCGTAGCTCATGTGTCTATGGTGTATCATTTTGCATGGTTTGGTTCCATGTAGAGACTGAAAGAATTTAAATGAATTATTATAGTACAAGTTACACTGAGAAGTAGTTTGTTCTAAGCCAAATTGATTTATCCTATGCATGTTATAATATACTGTAGACCATGACAATCTAGTTTGGGCTAAATACTTTATGATTTATTGTTCTAAACTGATTGGTTTTTCCAAATGAAAAAAAAAACACTGGAGCCTTACAATATGGGGATTCCCCTCCCTTGTGATGATGCTATCATTCTTGTTGTGTTGTGACATACAAAAATGAACATTTCATTTTTGGAACATTGTTAAACTATTTTGTATTATTTTTAAGGTG